CTGTTCGTTAGCTCTTCTCCAGAGAAGCAGGCGGGATTTTCAGTTTCCAACCCTGTTTAGCTTGCTCTCCTGGCCATTCCCCTGGAGCATCGTACTTCGGAAGGGGTATGTATCTGTGAGGAGTGGAGCAAGGAGGCACAGGACATGGAGAACACAGTGTTTCCAGGAAAGGTCATGGGGGAAAAAACCCTGCAGGTATACATACATGTATACGTATAGACTTCCTTGTTTCCCTATATAAAGGAACAAAGGCAGAGAGCATTTTTGTTTTATTTAAAAAATAAAATGTTTTGCATAAATAAGATAGTTATTGACAAGTTTTTAGTTTTTGCTAATGAAATATATGTAAGTTTAGTTTGCGACGCTAATTTGGTCTTATAAGTCTCATCAGAAACCTTCTAAAGGAAACTTGCTATAGTACTAAACTTCAATTTCTTAACTTTATTCAAGGCCCTCCATTATCTGTTCCCAATTTAGTAATTGAGTCTGCTTTGCCACAGATTCTTTTTTTTTTTTTTTAATTTATTTGACAGAAAGAGATTACAAGTGGGCAGAGAGGCAGGCAGAGAGAGAGAGAGAGGAGGAGGAAGCAGGCTCCCTGTCGAGCAGAGAGCCCGATGCGGGACTCGATTCCAGGACCCTGAGATCATGACCTGAGCTGAAGGCTGAGGCTTAACCCACTGAGCCACCCAAGTGCCCCACCACAGATTCTTTACACTTCTCTTGATAAGACATCCTCTTACATCCCGTGTGCCTTGCTCTCCTTGATCCTTCCATGGAACAATTTCCAAAAACACTTTCCTTCTTCTCTCTGTTACCTTCTTCAGGCTTACCAAAGTCCTACCCCATCTTTACAGGTGGGTTAGGTCCTAATCCTCCATAAAAGTCTTCCAAACAACTCCAACCCCAGTGGTCTTTCCAAGTTCCTAGAGTTCTTAATTATCTGGTCTAGTTGCTAGATGCATAGAATCTGAAATTTTATATAAACATGGCATGAACATTAGAAATCAGGAAATCACACATTGGTGCCTTTTCTGTCTTCTTTACCTGACTGAACAGATGGCACCTGCTCTCTTTCTCCCTTTTTTTTTTTTTAATGTTATTTATTTATTTGACAGAGAGAGATCACAAGCAGGAGGAGGCAGGCGGGACGGGGGGTGGGGTGGGGGAAGCAGGCTCCCCGCTGAGCAGAGAGCCTGATTCGGGGCTTGATCCCACGACCCCAAGACCATGACCTGAGCTGAAGGCAGAGGCTTAACCCACTGAGCCACCCAGGCGCCCCTCTCTTTCTCCTTTTATATAATCATAGGTGATACATCACAAGCAAAACCGGCTAGGAGAGAATAGATCTAATGGAGAAAAGTTAAACAATACATTATTTAGAAGGACAAGTCATGGGAAAGAAATATGGTGTTTCCATTTTTTAAGGATAATTTAGTGTGTACTAAAGTATCCACATTTGAATAGCTGTAGTTTCAATCAGGTCACTGATTTTACAGTAGCAAATAGCTGAGAGTTTTTTTCTCCTGTGTTACCATTTCTATAAAACCTCCTTGCACGCCAAGCAGGACCTTTCTAAGTGTCTAGCATGTTCTACATCAAGAGCACCCATGGGACACAGTGCTTTAAACATGTTTAAAAGCTTACTATGTATTAGTGGTTGAAGTTCTTTTTTCTTTTTTTTTAAGATTTCATTTATTTATTTGACACAGAGAGAGAGAGATCACAAGTAGGCAGAGGGGCAGGCAGCAAGAGAGAGGGAAGCAGGCTCCCTGCTGAACAGAAAGCAAACTGCGGGGCTCTATCCCAGGGCCCTGCAATCATGACCTGAGCCCAAGGCAGAGGCTTAACCCACTTAGCCACCCAGGCACCCCAGTGGTTGAAGTTCTTGAGAGACCTTATGTTTGCTGATATAGCCACAGTATTAATAAAGTCAGGAATGTCAAAAAGTGCTAATAGTCCCAAAAGACAGCTTTAATTTTAGACGTGTGATGAGAAAAGATGATCCAAATACATAGCTTACTGTTTTACTACACAGATTTTTGTCAAGGGACAGGTGAAGCCGCTTACTTACACTTGTTCCATCTACCCACTCCTACCCTAAAAATCTTAGTTGAAGATTAACTTTTTTTTTTTTTACTGTCTTAATTTTATTTATTTTCAGTGTTCCAAAATTCATTGTTTATGCGCCACACCCAGTGCTCCATGCAATTCATCCCCTCCTTAATACCCACCACCAGGCTCACCCATTCTCCCCACCCCCTCCCTTCCAAAACCCTCAGTTTGTTTCTCAGAGTTCACAGCAGTCTCCCATGGTTTGTCTCCCCCTCCGATTTCCCCCCAACTCACTTCTCCTCTCCTTCTCCTAATGTCCTCCATGTTATTCCTTATGCTCCACAAGTAAGTGAAACCATATGATAATTGACTCTCTGTGCTTGACTTATTTCACTCAGCATAATCTCTTCCAGTCCTGTCCATGTTGATACAAAAGTTGGGTATTCATCCTTTCTGATGGCTGCATAATATTCCATTATATATATTTAAATTGTTTTTAATTTTTTTTTTTTTAAGATTTTAAGTAATCTCTAAACCCAACACGGGGCTTGAACTCACAACCCTGTGATCAAGAGTCGCACTCTTGATCCCACTCCAACCAAGCTGGCCAGGTGCCCCTTAACTTTTTTTTTTTTAAAAATTTTGTTTATTTATTTGACAGACAGAGATCACTAGTAGGCAGAGAGGCAGGCAGAGAGAGAGGGGGAAGCAGGCTTCCCGCTGAGCAGAGAGCCAGATATGGGGCTCGATCTCAGGACCCTGAGATCACAACCTGAGCTGAAGGCAGAGGCTTTAACCCACTGAGCCACCCAGGCGCCCCAAATTGTTTTTAAAATGCAATGATTTACAGCTCTTACATGCTACATTTTTTTTTAAAGATTTTTTTTTTTTTATATGACAGAGAGAGATCACAAGTAGGCAGAGAGGCAGGCAGAGAGAGAGGAAGGGAAGCAGGCTTCCCGCTGTGCAGAGAGCCCGATGCGGGGCTCGATCCCAGGACCCTGAGATCATGACCTGAGCCGAAGGCAGCGGCTTAACCCACTGAGCCACCCAGGGGCCCCCATGCTACATTTTTATATTATTTTCCTTTCAGAATTGACCACCAACCATTAGTAATTATTATGAGTATGTATTTTATTTAAGTTGTCACTATTGCACTCAGTCTACAGAATTCATGTAGACACTAGAAAGGGCTCAAATATGTCACGTTTAAAAAAGGATCCCATTGGAATTCAATTTTATTCTGACTGGAAATTACTAAAGAATTAAAGTATTACTAAATAGTGCCATAGCCTCCCCACCCCTCATCCAATGGAGATATGGCCTAAGAACCCCAGTGGATGCCTGAAACCAGATAGTACTGAATCCCCTACATATATTGTTTTTTCCCTGTACGTGCCTACAACAAAGTTTAATTTATAAATGAGGCACAGAGAATAACAACAAAAACTGATAATAAACTAGAACAACAATAATAATATGCTGTGATAAAAGGTATGTGAATGTGGTCTCTCAAAATCATCTGATTATACATACTTATCCTTGTTCTGTGATGACATGAGATGAGAAAATGTCTCCTGTGGAGATGAAGTGAGGGGAATTACGTAGGCATTGTGTTGTCATATTTGTTACCATTGACCTCCTGATGTGTCGGGAGGAGGATTGTCTGCTTCTGGACCAAGGTTGACTGCCGGTCACTGAAACCATGGAAAGCAGAAGCACGGATAGGGAGCATGGGGGGGAGACTATGGTGTGTGAAACACAAGCTGAATGGTTTCTGCCGCAGGGCAAGTCCTCATCATGTAGAGGGCTGTCACCAAGTATCCCAGGTATTTAGCAACAGATGTGCATGAAACAAAGCCTCACAAATAAAAATCTTGGATCAACTTTATTCTCCATCTTTGGGTAAGGGTACAAACTCTACACCATGTCTATGAAGTCACGGTGCTCTCACTGTGCTAGAGAGGAAGGCTGCGGGTTGGGTGAGAAGTTAAAATGCAAGACAAATCAGGAGTAGCATATGCTGTGGCTTCTTATTTTAGGATGTACAGAGAGTCTCTTCAGTAAGTACTGCTCCCGTTGTCTTCATAACTCAGTGTTAGGAAAACCCAAATGTTGTCTCTTCATCTATGAAATCACTCAACTGGCAAGCAAAACATTTCGTATCATCTATTTCTAAATACATGAGAAATAAAAGGAAGAAAGTAACGGGATATATAAACTCATGCTATCTTGATTCTAATGTCTAGCTATGAAAACATACGGTGGTAACCATTGCTATCTACAATTTTTATGAAGTGCAGAAAGCCACTAGTGACTCCCACTTTCATTAAGTCTTTTTGCTTGGTCATCGACAGATGCCTTTCAGATTCAAAAGGCCAACCATTATGGTTCTCTTTGTTCCCCTAAGAAATCAATACAATGTACATCAATTTCCTTCTTTCTGAATGTTCCAGTTAAAAACTAAACAGTGAAAAAAATATAGGAAACATTATCTTGGACACCTTTTTATCAAAACAACAAAAGATGTGCCACATGAACAGAACTCAAGTTTTATTTTTTTGTTGTTGCTTTTTTTTAACAAGACTCTCAAGAATATAGGTTATACAGCTATAATCTTAAAGGAGGTGATCTTGAGGTTGCAACAGATACCTGCTAGTGAAATGGCATTACTAGCATTTCAGAAATTTACAAAAACTTGACAAAGTACTCTCCTAAACAGCTATCTTTATATTTGTAAACAAAATAAAAACTGGTTTATCCAGTTTCCACTGCACGTCAAACAGGCGGCAAAGTGATACAGATCATCTCTGATTTTAAAAGAAGAAGAAAAGCCAAACTAGTTTAGACTGCACGTATTCTAGTCCCAGGAAGTATATTTGGAGGAGGACACGGGTGGGGCAGAGGATTAAAACAGTCTAACACGTTGACATCTACTTTAACAGTTTTTTTTTTCATTTACTCATATTGCCTTGATACAATTAGTTTTCTCCCTACAAGTTAACAGTACTGTTGCTGTACAACGCAGAATTCTTTTTCTTTTATTTCTCTACAGAAGCAAGTGTGATCCCTTTCCTAACAGTTTGCATAGACACACTTGAGACTTCAGGCATAATAGGAGGGTAGTTTTCTCATGGTTTCTGAGGGCTTCTCTCTGGAGCATCGGAGATGTTAACAGTTGGGCCTACACATGCATGCTGCCATAGGTAGGTGGATGGTACAGGCGCCTCCCGAGTTCAAGAACACAAATGGGAAGTACGTCTGGATAAGGGCAAACTGCAACTTGATGTCTGCCACAGCCCTATCAATGGGGCATGGGTATTTATTCCTTCACTTTGCTGATATAGTCAGCGATTTTGGAAACACTTTCCTCCTGCTGTTCTAGGGCATCTAGGACAATGCCCATCGGTGTCCTCTTCAAGCCTATTCCCTCCATTTTATTCTCCAGTTTGTTCTTGAGGTTCCGAAGTCTCAACGACGCATGAATGAACATCACTGCGGGGAAATGAAACCTGGTTAGCATGGAAGCAATGGTTCTCTGTCCACCACGACCTTACGTTCCCTGTCTTCACACTTTAGGGAAACCGCCTCAGCTATAGACCAGTCCGGTTCTCTAACTGATCCAAGTCCTCAAAAGGATCCTTGGACTTGGTCTTAGGCTCTTCGTTGTCAAGTCATATATTAAGTTTTCTTTATGTGTAAAGGAAAACATATTTAGCAGGAAGGACCCTAATCTGGCAGCCACACTCTCTCATGCTGAGTTGTTACCCTTCTGCTACTACTTAGATGCCTTGAAATTCACAGTGAATCAACAGGATTCCAACTCACGTAAAAACCGACTTACACAAAGTTTTCCAAAAAGGAACTCATGCTCGGTTCACTGATAATCTTCCTGCAGGAAGCATGCGGGTGAAGTCCACCAGGATGTGCCTCCTGAGGGGCAGATGTGCCTCCCGAGGGGTAGTCTCCCACAGTGCTGGGTATAAATGTCTAGATAAAAACTCATGGTTTTATAGATCTCAGGTACCTCAAGGTTCTGCACATTGCTTCATCACTCACTTACAATTACTCACATCTGTTTACTAAGAAACATTCCGGGGCTCCTCTCCTGGACCTCCTGAACCAGAACCATGAAGGGACAGGCCTGGGAATCTGTATTTTAAACAGGCCCAGCAGGGGATCTCTATCAGCGATTTTCTAACCCCCATGCACATATAAATCACCTAGGGAGCCTGTTAAAAAAAGGCAAATTCCAGCTCTCCACCACTCAAAATCCAGAAAGACTGAGGTAAAGCTCCATGATGTAAAGAGCCACTATTCACTCTGGATGATTCTCATATATGTGATCTTAGACCCTCATTTTGAGAAACACTGGTATGCCTTACATCTGGAGACTCCCAACCTAGAGTTTTGGAAACATCTGAGGAACTTTCTAAAAATACAGGTTTTGGGAGCACCACTGTCAAAGCACAGAATCAAGATCTTAAGGGATATGGCTAGGCAATCCATATTTTTTAAGTGTCCTATATGATTCTGACAATCATCAAGGTCTAGGAGTCACGAATCCTCTCTAATTTCCTTATTTTATAGATGAGCAAACTGCAGCCCATATAGGGTACCTGGTCCAAATCACATGGCTGGTTTCCAGCAGGTCTAGGAATAGAAATCTGGACACTTGACTCTCTACCAATGATCTATTTCATAACACTTGCCTGTCCGGGGCCCTGATGTGGAAAAGTACTGAAGTTAACGAGCTGCATTAAAAACAAACCAGAACCTTTGAAATACTAAGCTTGGCACATAAGGAGAACTTCAGGAATATTTCAAAAGTTTGAATTTGCTGATTCAAATATTTTGTCCAATAAGGGTCACCTGGCTGGCTTAGTTGCAAGAGCATGCAACTATTGATCTTGAGGTCAAGAGTTCGAACCCCACATTGGGTATAGAGTTTACTTAAATAAATACTTAAAAAAAACCAAATATTTTGTCCATTAAGGTGTGAATTCACCCAGAAATATCTGGGCTTAATCTAACATAACCCCAAATAAGCAACTGATTTTATTTAATGAAATAAATGCCCATGTGAAATGCTATTAAAGGGATCTTCCTGTGACTTAATATAATAGAATTTTAATTAGATTTCTGCTGATGAGACTGGGATTATATCTGTTCTGTATATCAGGTTTCAAGCGTTTGGGATCTCAGTAAATGACACATGTAAAATTTGGGAAATATCTGGCTCTCGCCACCAAAATCAGAGTACTCAGTAACTGTATTCTGGGCCACTTATTCTTTTTTTTTTTTTTTAAGATTTTATTTATTTACTTCACAGAGAGAGATCACAAGCAGGCAGAGAGGCAGGCAGAGAGAGAGGAGGAAGCAGGCTCCCCGCCAAGCAGAGAGCCCGATGCGGGGCTCGATCCCAGGACCCTGAGACCACGACCCGAGCCGAAGGCAGCGGCCCAACCCACTGAGCCACCCAGGCGCCCCTCTGGGCCACTTATTCTTAAAGACTTAGGGCACTTTGACACTAAACATGATCTACTGAGTAAAGTAGATAGTAAAGAGTTTATTTCTAAATGAAATCCATTCATTCTGTGTCAGGACAGTATGAATGTCCTTTAGGAATCTTTAAGGAGACTGAGAACAGATGAACATTAGACAAATCTAGAGGCTGATGCAGGCTGTGCAAATTTCTTGCCATGGGCCTTGGGATTTGTATTTCTTTTGTGCATTGTTGTATCCCCAGAAGACTGTCTGGCACATACCAGGCCCTCAATATATCTCTGTGGAATTAGTGAAATATCAGGTCTTGATCTGTTGTGGCAAAAAATTCAGATAATTTTGTAGACATGCCAACACACATAAAGAACAGGCCAGGTAATTCCCAATGAACAATTGCTCCTACTTATTTTTTCTTTTTCTTTTTTTTTTTTTTATGGCATAAGAAAAGAAGACTGAGGTTCACTTACGCAATAAAGGAAAAGTGATGCCAAACACAAAGACCATGACTCCCCCGAACATGGATATGAGGAAGTAGCTCGCCAGCATGACCACCATGACAAATGTCGTGGGATACTGCTTCTTCATCCGGCGGAGGATGTCTTTGTTGTGGGCTGCCCACACGAACCCTGTGAACACAAGCACCACCACAATGCCTCCAAGGATCATGTTGAAGGGGCTCAGGAACCTGGAATACGAAGAAAAGAGGGAGGCGAGGTCAGCACTGGGAGCCGCAGGATGTGAATGAAGATGAGGAAGGTGAGGAGGAGTCAAGTCCGTGCTGAGTACTTATCTACATGGTCTTATTTAATCCTCATAATGCGATGAGGCAGATAGTATTAATTCATTTCTCAGAAGAAACTGAGGCATGGAGGTGAGAAAAATGGTGGAGCCAAGACATTTGGAAGTCTGACTCCCAACAAACTGGTCATCTTATTAGAGGCCTATAATTTTCAAAAACATTTTCCCCTGAAAGTCCATAATGGTTTTTATTACATTTTATTTTCTTTTTTTTTTTTTTTAAAGATTTTATTTATTTATTTGACAGAGAGAGAGAGATCACAAGTAGGCAGAGAGGCAGGTGGAGAGAGAAGTGGAAGCAGGCTCCCCGCTGAGCAGAGAGCCTGATGTGGGGCTCGATGCCAGGACCCTGAGATCATGTCCTGAGCTGAAGGCAGAGGCTTAACCCACTGAGCCACTCAGGCGCCCCAGTTGTTATTGCATTTTAAAACATACTACAAATCAAACAAACAAACAAACAAACAAAATACTACAAATAAGTCTGAGGAACCATCTGGGATCTTGCTGTTTCTATAGCTGGACAGCTTCAGTCTTACTTGTCTGTCGCCTTGCTGAACGGGTCCTTTTTCAGAAACATGGGTACCATCCAAACTTTTTGTTGATATCTTTGTTTTGAACTGTTGCGGTTTGCTGAACCAGAGCCGGCAAATCTGATACATGTTCAATGTTGTTTCCTTCAAGAATTAACTCATTCTCCTGGGCTTGAGATACTGAACAAGCCAGGCCTGGCCTCATCCAAACCCTGCAGATATATTTTTCACCCAAGAAATTTTGGATTTCGACAAGAGAACCATTCTCCCAGGGAACGACATTGCTGGGGAAGCAAGCACAGCCCTACCTCCACCCGTAATGGAAGCCCAGTGTGACGCCGTTCTGTACGTGACCACAGATGTGCAAACAGGAGCCTGACCCTTTCTCTTCCCCCAGGTTTGTCAACTCTGAGCCTCTTCTTTTTCCTTTCAGGAGACTGATGTCTACACTGATGTGACTGACATCCCCCCACAGGATCCTGGCGGGCCTCTCGCGATCACCGTGTGTCCCTGCAGAGTGATGCTGACATTTGCTGGAACATCAACAGTCTGATTGCTGAGAACGGTCTTCGTTTTCACGGTAAATGCGGCAAAGAGCTAAGAGACTTTTATAATTTAAGAGAGACTGCCTCTTTTGGAGGGGATGTTTCATTTCATTATATCCTGGGCTCTAGTACACACCCCGGACAGCACTCACGTATTTTCTGAGCTCTTCGGGTTTATCTAAATCCTCCCAGAAGCTGCCACAACAGATGTGTATAGAGGTCCCATGATGGCCTCCATGGGCCAGACTCAGTCTGTTGTCACATTTGTGTTTGGATGGTACAGTGTTTAAAAAGAACTTTTACTTGAATCCCAATGTACTGAAAAAAATCCATACAATTTGGGATTTCTAGCTTCTCCTGTAAACGAGAAAATCTAACAAGAGTAGGCTCACTTTTCCACCTGTCAATGACTGGCTAGAGTGCCTTCTCTTTCCTATGGAACAAATGCTCTCCAATTAGCCCCCGTGTCCCTACGACCATCTACTGCATGGCCCTCACTGAGCTGCCATTCATCACTGCTTGTCTAACAGCTGCCCTGCACTGCTCTCTTACATAACCTGCCTGGGCCTTGGAAGCATCTCAGTCTATGACTCCCAGCACAGAGACTCCATTATAATTCTTTAAAAGGGGCAAGAGCGTCATTAGGAGATGGGTTATCAGCTGAGATTTCCAAGCACAGAGCCCCCACCTTCATTGTTACATACCCAAAGGTTACACTATTGTTGATAAGAAAGTGGAAAACTAGACGCAGTATTTCCAAAGTGAGAAGGGACTGGGTGTTGTGGCCCTCACTGACACCCAACCCACAGCATATACATAGTTCTTAATACGACATTTGTGGTCAGTAAGGACAATGAGTTACTAACTTTGTACCCTAATAACGGGCTTAACGAGCATTTTACTCTGCAAGGACAATGAGAGTCAGTGTGTTTTCATCATGCTCTGAATATCAACATGACTAATGTGGAAATGAGAGACAGGGGGAACACAGGACTGGGAGGTGATGCCAAGAGCTTACTTTCTCTGAAACAGAGCAGATGGAAGGATTCGCACTCATGGCAGGGTTCGTATTCGGGATAACTAAGGTTCTTTTTTAAAAATCCCTTTATGTTTTAGCTCTGAGTCTGCCTTCTGAAACACAAAAGCTATGTGAAATAGTTTCAAGTAAGAGAGGAAGTACTGCATTCCTTAATGGGTGAAATCAGGGATAAAATCAATGTGAAACTGCTTTGGTAAAGTTAAAAATTTCTATTTAAATGCATGGAATTAAACAGTGGTAAGAGTAGTGCAGTAGGACATAATTTAGAGTAAAACCCCATAATAGTAAGGTGCTTATTTCATTCAAATATTCATCCCCTTCCAGGCAATAAATCTCCTCCTCAGAATACAATCAAAGGAAACAAATACAATGCAAAGACCGAGATGTAACAATCCTCACAGGAGTGGTATTTACGATGAAAAACTTAAAGCAGTAACATATATGGCCACCATTTTAGAGGTGGTATATGCAGCTATTTTTAAATACTCGATAATATGGAAAGATTTACTAGTCTATTGAGTGGGTAAAAGTAATCATACTACATTCTCTCCGTTAGGTGGATTTATATATGTCATGTACCTATGAAGGAGAAATTTTTACAATTAGTACCTTATTTTGTAATCAGAAATAAAATGAACATATATGAAAGGAAAATATAAAAATATAAAAGCCGCTTCTCCCCGGTCTATGACCCAGGCTAGGCACAGGCCAGCTACAACCGCCCATCTTTACTTCCACTGTCTCTCCAACAACATTAATGCAATTGCAATTCATACACCACAGCGAAGCTGTTCCTTCTCCCACTCAAAGCCTGGTTTCCTGGTGCTTCTCCAGATCCTCTTGTGGCAAGGGGTACCACCCCACTCCCCCAGGCTTTCCCAGCGTCCAGCAATGGAACTGCTCTGTCTGTCCTTCACCAGTTCTTTATCGTCTGGGCCCACAGAGTCACTCTGTACTTTTTCTGTTTTAAAAAATTGTATCTGGGTTATGCTGTACCTTCTGCCCAGATCTGGGGAAGACTACTGCAGGCTTGGAGAAGGGAAGAACTGGACAGGGCAAAAATAAAATCTTTTTTAGCAGGTGGTAAAGGAAATGGAGCGGAGAGGTCCAGAAACTGTTAACTGATTAATACATCTCATTCCTAGCCCTCGAAAGACGCTGAAAGAAGTTATCCTGAGAGACTGGAGCCGTTATACTGGGCAGCATCGTGGGTAGTTTATTCCCATTGTTTACTAGTTTCACCCAAATGTTTTTGAGCTGTAAAGGAAAGCAAACATCAACATTAATGCAAAACACTCGAGTGGAGGGTTCAAGTTTAAGGAAACTGCCTTGCATAAACTGCAAATAAAAGACGGTTGGTTGGTAGCAAAATAGCAAAGGTATCCTACCCAGTTCCTTCTAGAACACCTATCAAAATAATTCATGAGGTGAAGCACATCATAAAAAGTATGCCAAGTTTTGTCTGTTTTCCTCTGGACAAGCAAAGTAGGCTTCTATGTTGAATGTCTAAATAAAGCCCAGGACAAAGAACAACAAAAAATCCAGGCCTGACTCAAGCAATTCCAAATTTGTTTTTCACCTGTTCCTGTTGCTCATGTTCAAGGGAAAAGAACAGAGCACAGAGCCCTATAGAACTGGTTTTAGCTTACAACACACCCAGCCACAATCTATAATTAGAAAGTAACCAAGTTTCCAAGCTGGAAAAAATGAACAAAGTTACTCGGAGCAGAAATGGTTTTCTTCCTTATTCTTCTTAAGTGCCATTCCATTCTAACAAAGAGTAAAATTTGTACCACTCCAAGGCCTTGGCACCTACTTGCACTTGGAGGAAAATAAAACACATACACCACCCTCCAGGGTTTAATTTCATTTTCCAGTGGGTGCAGGAGCTTGGGAGCCGGCTCTCATCTGAGATGAGTGAAATTTCTTAGTCAACAGCTGGGCTCTTAGTCATGCCAGTCACAGTAAAGCCCAGGAAGCTTTAGACAAAAACTCCCATAAATGTGTTACCCCAGCTTTCGTGGGGACAATTGCCACTGGGCTCTGATGGGAGTTTCATCTACTGGTAGTCCCCCAGTGAGAAAGGGTGGGAGGAATGGAGGCAGGAAGATAGAGAGAAGGGAAAAGGACAGAGAAGGGAGAAGGGACAGAGTGGGAGAGAGAGAGAATGCAGTTTTCTGTCCTTGATGGAAATAGGATCTAGTTTAACAACTGTAGAGTGTTCAAAGATAAAGAGCTTCAGTCCCATTGCACAGATGAATAAACTGAGGCCTAGAGAAGTGATGAAACACATTTGAAGGGGTGTGGGGGAGAGAAAAGGATGCCAGCTGATGTAACCATGACAGCAATTCATGACAGCCCCTTTTGTATTGTTAGGCAGCTTCCAGACTCCAATCCCCCCTCCCCCACACCCACCCATTCTCAGTATTCTTCAACTTGGGATCAGCAACGAAGGATCATTCTGGGAAATCCCTTGATGTTCTGGTTTCTCTCTGAGCCGAGGTGGCTACCAGCAGGTGTGGACACATGTCCTGAAAGTGCCAACATGATTCAGCTAGCCAGAGTTATAATTTCAGCTCCCGAAGTGGGGGGTGGAATAAACAAAAACAAAAAACCTGGCTGACCACACAATTTTAGAGCTAGGACAGATCTGGAAAAACACATCTCATTTTACACATAAGCAAGGTAGGGAATGCACAGGTTAGTAAATATGTCCAAACTCATCCGCTGTAGGTAGGATTGGCGATAAAAGTTTACCAAAACAGAGATCCTC